CTAGATTTTTGTTGTCATATGCATGCCATCTTTTATCTCAGGCATTTTCCTTACCACCAAGTTTAAATCATTTTATTTATATAAAGAAAAACAATTCAAATGTCATAATTCATTTTTTTTTATTTAAATATTTAATAGGTCTCACTTTACATAAAAAGCATTTGAAAAAATTGGAATGGAAAATTTGTTGTTGTTATTTTATTTATTACACTGCCTTCCTAACCCTTTACAGGGCACTCTTGCCCTGTGTACAGTGCTCTGCATATATATGTACACCCCTCACAAATCTATCTTTTAAATTTGTATTTTTAATAGAAAGCTTTACAATTTTATATTTGTGCATATATAATACAATAAATTAGTCAGTACTGCAGTTAAATCTAAAGCTTATCTAACAAAACAACTTACGATAATGGTCCAAAAACTAGTACATCCAAATTTATGTTATAGAAAAATATTAAATATAAATTTAAAAAAGAGGAAAAATCAAGAGAAGCAAAAAAAAAAAAATATTCAAAATTTAGTTGACATTTTGTAGGTTGTAGGTTTTTTTTTTGCAATATTTTGCTTGAATTAAATTGTATCATCTTTAAATTTCTAAATGTGTTTGGTTACTAAAATAAAATAAATATATCTGTTTAAGGGCGTACTCACACTATGTACAGTTACCTTGAACCGGGCTGAAGCACACTTGCCCCCACTTTCGTCCCCCCCGACAGCCCGCACTCACATTGCATTCGGGCGCTTACGCTTACGTCATCAATGATGCGCTGTTCAGTAAGAAGCGCTCTCTCACTCAGCAGCACAGTGGAGATTTCTTTAATCATACCGTTTTAGTCGTTTGGGATGCAGTGTCACGCAGTCAAATATTTCGCCGAACAGATCAGCCACTTTTGACTCTCATAAACAATCATAAAGTCCTCGTGCTGCAGGAATTAGGAGGTTTGCTGAAGGTACAGCTGTCGTGCAGTGAGGGGTTTGCTACGACAGTTTGGGTTCATTAAACAGTAAAAATGATTAATAAAGTCATATGAAACAGTCCCTTAAAAATCACGTCTCGTCTTCAGTTTCGAGCTCTGGTGCGCTTTGCACTCACTACAAGCGTACTGTGCCAAAGCCCAATATATTTATATTGATTACAGTAAACATTTAGGTGGATAATTTCACTGTGGTGACACCTGATAAATCAGGGAATAACCCGAAGGAAAATGAATAAATGAATAAATGAATGACAACATACATTTAATTTAGTAATTTTTTTTTTACTATATGTATTTGCCATATAAAGCGTTAAAATTTGACATTTTTAATAAATATATTCTTTATATTTCAATAAGATGTTAACATTCAATCAGGATGTGCAGTATGAATATTTGAGAAGGACTTGCAATTGTATTATCTTCAATATTTTTTTTTTTCTTTTTGAGGACCACAGATCCGTCTGAGCTTTTCATTTACAGTCAAAGAATTGTTTGAGACTCTGAATGTGATCTTTGTCTGTGGTTTGTCCAGCGTCTGGTGTCGGACGAACAAGACTGACGAACAAGAATGTCTCTCAAACACTTTGTCGCACAGCAGGAAAATAGCAGTCAGTTTTGTCATGGCCTTGATGCACACACAGGGCTGTTTCAGCGGTCATCAGTGTGTAGGTGTGAGTAGATATAATGATGTCATAGAATGAGACCCTCCGAAAAATGTGAAACGGTTACAAATACAGTGAGAGTAATAAACCATGTATTCACCAGAGGAGTAATGTTTTACGGACCATCTATACTGAAGTCATGTAATGTTAGTTAATGCATGTTATATTTTAAGGTTGCTGTTTGTTAAAATGCCTGAGTTGGCATTATAAGATTAAAGTGTGTAGTCTTACTCAAGTCATGCTTTTAATGTTTTAAATGTATTTCTGATTGATGGTGTTTGTTTAATTGTGCTCTGCAGATCTCATAATAAGCCAGCTAGCTAAATTCATGTGGCTCAAATCTGGCCCACACCAGACACTTGCATCCAGCCCACATACTGCAAAGAATGATGGCACTTTGGCGGTCCGCTAATGTTTGCCATATCTGGGCCACAATTAAGCCATAGCAATATCACATATCAGCCAGAATTCAACCAAATGAACCAGAACTGACCCTATTCTGGGCCACAGTTTGCTTTGATTGTGGCCCAGATCTGGCCCACGCTAGACACTTACATTTGGACCCCGTACTGAATGAAAGGATGGCTCTAGGACGGTCCGCTCCTGTTTGTCAGATCTGGGCTACAAATAAGCCTAAGCAATATCACATATTAGCCATAATTCCACCAAATGAATCAGAACTGACCCTATTCTAGGCCACAGTTTGCTTTTATTCTGGCCCAAATTTGGCCTATTACTTCTTTTAATGGATTAAACATTGGTAAACCTCAGTGAACTATATTATTTCATCACAGGTTGTGCCTGACTTCATTTTGTTTGCTGCAATGAACAAACTATTCAAGCAAAGTTCTTAAAAGCTACAGCAGCCCAACATAAAATATATATATTAAGAGATTCCAGCCTGGTCTCACGAGAAAACGTAAGTATTTTACGTTTTGCCAGTTTAGTGGCTAATTCGTACGAATTCGTACGAGTTCAGTCGTACAAAATTGTACGATTTTAAAAAGGAGGCGTGGCACCCAACCCCACCCCTAAACCCAACCGTCATTGGGGGATGAGCAAATCGTACTAAATTGTACTAACTAGATCGTACGAATTTCTACAAATTAGCCACTAAATCAAAAAGTTATGAATTGCCATGAGATTGTGTTGGAGTTTCAGAACTGTTCAGAGCTATTAGCCCAGCTAAAGCAAACACTTTACTCTATGATGGTGACTTTAGTCTATGTAGTCCACATATGTTTTGAGATAACTTGGACACATTTTTCATATCTTCTCTTGGCCACTATTGGCTAACGGCTGCATTAGCGAGAGTTTACTGGGCCGAATATTTGCCAAAAGTCACCCACATATGTTTTAAAATAACTGGGCTACATTTGCCATATTTTCTCTGAGCCACATTAGAGTCACAGCCGCAATAGCCACAGCTTACTGCGCCAAATATATGCTAAAGTGGCTCACTGATGTCTTAAGATAACTGGGCCACATTTGCACCTACACGTGTGAATCACTTTAGGTTTAGACCCAGATTACCCTTAAATGACTATACCACTATTTTGCCAATTGTGGGCCACATTTGTCATTTTCCACTTGGGCCACATTGGGCTCACATTCAGATTACATTTCACCATTAGTGACAAATATTTGCCTTAAATGGCCCTTGTATGAATTTGAATCTTTGCCATTATACAGTTGGGCCACTTCAGACTCACATTTATTTTGTCAGGGCTGAAGAAATACCACCAGTGTCGCATAACTGCCTAAAGTGGCCCACATTCGTATGCTATCTGGGTATACATTTGTTTGTTTTTTTAAGTGATAACTGCTTACTTGAGCTCATTTTGTAGCAGCTAATATACTGTATTTTTCATGAATAGAAATAGTAGCTAATAAATCATTCAAGCAGAAAAAACAAGAAATATTTGAATTGATTTTTATTTTTTTATGTATTTTTGTCACCACATGATCCTCATATTTCATCTCAAACATTTTCACTGATGTTTTCCTCAGTTTAGATTATTTTAGTACAAAATAAAAATATTATTTTAATAGAAATAATAATTAATATTTTAAGAATGTCACAATTACCAGCGATCCAGCCTGTGCAGATCGCAACACACAGTATTGCATAGAACTGCAAATCCGCCATTAAATGGACCACAAGGTCCAGTCATGCACCACTCACACACCTAACCTAGATTGTCATGAATGCAGACAGACACAGCTGAAGCTACTCATGAACTGATTACTAGGACTATTTATACAGCGCAACCACACACACACACACACACACACACACACATCAGTGCTGAACTGTTAGTAAACATTATGACGTGGCAGGTTAGGGTAATTAGGCAGGCAAGTTATTGTATAATGATGGTTTGTTCTGTAGACTATGAAAAAAATAATGATCAAACGTCTAATAATTTTGATCCTAAAATGTTTTTTTTTTATTATTATTAAAAACTGCTTTTATTCTAGCCAAAATAAAACAAATATTTTTTTCTCTAAAACAAAAAAAAATATTATCAGACACACTGTGAAAAGTTTCTTGCTCTGTTAAACATCACTTGGGAAATATAGAGGAAAAAAATCTAAGGGGGTTGCATATATATATTTAAAGTCAGAATTATTACCCCCCTTTAATTTTTTTTTCCCTTTTAACATATTTACATAATACATAATATTTATACTTATAAAGCCCTTATAAATTCTCATGGCTATTTTTAAAAATGTTCTCGCCCTCTGAATAAATAAAGCATGGTTTGCTGAGTGGCATGGTCTGAGGATGCCCAGCTGCAGAGTCATGAGAGTGTCTGGGACAGGATGGGGATTCACATCAAGATGCCACATTAGAAAAACCCACAGCACAGTGTCAGGCTTTTTGTCTGGCTTTTGAAATGCTAAATAAGCTGCAAATCAACTGTACTGTGACATTTCACATGGTTTAACATCGGATGCCACTTTTAGCCCAACAATCTCAACATGTGCCAGCTTAACATTGACTTCATTCTTCTTTTTCTGCTTTTCTCAGGGAGTAAAGAAGAGCACTGGACCATGTGGAGGAAGAGACTGCAGTGGTGGGTGTCAGTGTTACCCTGAGAAGGGCGCAAGGGTGAGTCTGGTTTAATCTTCTAGTACAACCTTGTAGCTGCATCCCAAATCACTTACATTTTAGCTGATACTACATTTGATTTTTGACTTTTTATTGGTGAACTCTAAAAACATTGGTTCAATATAGTATGAACAATGAAAGTATCAGTATATATTATATTATTTATATATAATATTTATTATATTCATTATTATTTATTTTTACATTGTGAAATATAAGCTTTTTAGCAACAATCTTTAACATCTTTGATATTTTACAGTGTAAAAGCACTTTGTCCACTGTGTGTGATTAAATTGTGCAAATGTACAACACAATGATGCTCTTAAAATTCAACATCATGTCTAAGTGGGGGTATTTACACATGGCATGATCAGTGCAGTATGATATAGAGAAGGGTTTTTTGTTTGTTTTCGTCTTTTATTTTTTACCCCTTTGTTGATTTTGTTTGTCAAAACAGACTTAGTAATCATTTAAATCATGTGTCCAAAACAACTGCCATTGCACATAAGGACTCAACCGGTGACACTATAGCTATTGACCTTATTCTGCAATACGGAGAGCGCTCATTGTTGTTATTGTTTAAGAACTTCTGATTAAGTCGCTTTTGGGAGAATTGACTAGGAATAATAAATGACAGAAACCAGTCAACGTACTTGCTCTACAAACATGTGTGTTTATGACTGTCAAAAGAAGAATGATATAGCTACAAGCAGCAATTATGTGGCCAACCACTTCAGAGGCAGAATGAGCAAAGGAGTCCAGAGGCAGAATTAGCAAAGCAGTCCAGATGGCAGAATATGTCAGGGTTGGAGAGGGGAAATGGGGAAAAAGGAGCGAAGACTCAAGTGCAGGGAAATGGGAATTTATTAAATAATAAAAATAAAATAAAATGCAAATTAAACTACCCCGAGGGGGAAAACATTAACAAAACAAATACATACACAAACAAACTGGACTGGGCAGGCTGGCAAGGATCAGGACTGGAAACACGACAGGACAAGACTTCAAACAACGACATGTGATGACGAACTGGCACAGGACAGGAGACATGAGGGGTTTATAAACTGTAGGAAATTAACACACAAACAGATGAACATAATTAACTAATAATGGGTTAACAAGGAGGGTGGGACTAGATAATAGACGGGAGAGCGCATGACACAAAGAGACAACACAAGCCACGCGCTCACATTAAACAAGACTAGAACACGCAGCCAATGAGATAACTCATTAACCACGTGTTCATAACAACACAATCACGCGGTGCATGTAAACACGCAGCACGTGCTAAACACAAAACCAACAGAAGACTGAACGCAAGACACGAGTACAAGAGCGCGCACAGAGACACACAGAGACACACAATGACAGAAACAGGACGAGACAGAGCTAGTGTCCGAGCTCTGCCACCAAACAAGAATTTACAAGACCAGAGTGGCAGAACCCTGACAGAATAAGCCTCATCAGAGTATTCTACAGTTGTGCCTCCAATTAACTCAAATATTGTCAATTAGCCATTCAGAAACTTCCAAAACATTGACACCATTTTTTTCAGAGGCATAATAATCTTATTGTATGTCAACTTGACTTTCAAGAAAAGTTCTAACAATTTCTCAAAAAATATCTCTCTCATTATTCTGCTATTAAGCATAACAGAAACAAATGTGATAATCCGTACTTACCTAAAAGAGAAAAAGTTTAGTCACATCAACATCTGACTTTTTTAAATGGTCATGTGCCTTTTTATACAGTGTATGCACACTCCTGGTTTCAACTGTACATTTGCGTATGTACTTGGTGTGAAATCATCGTTTTTCAAAGATTCACTTTAATTGAATGCATCGATCTTAGTGTAAACAAGTATTAAGAACTTCTTGCTGCTTGAATTGGTTTCAATTTAAAAGACAGAATTTTTGTGTCTGACATGTTTTTGTGTTCACTATATCTGCGAGCTCTCGTCATGTGTGGTGGATACTTCTCAGGGAGGGTGGAGGAGAGAGGAAATACATTCCTGAGCAAACGTCAGGATATGAATGGACTTATGAGGGCGAGTATGACTTGAGATGTCAGTTCAGCTGTCTTTTTTCCCCTGCGCTGTACAGGAGCAGGAAAGGGGCTTTGATTGTTCTGTTGAAACATATAAGCAGCGCCAAGGCTGCTGAGGGTAAAGTTCACTCATTCCAAAAGACGCTTTTCCTTTTCTTAAACATAACTGAAAACACAAAAGGGAAGGAATCAGAGACAAGCACACTCCCTGTTTGCATTTCTGACACACTTGACGCAAAACTGAAAAGTCATATTTCTGTTGTTTCTGACGTTCTGTTGTATTTAAGTCACTTGTGACTCATAGTTTCAGTGCACAACAGGATTTACATTGTTCCACCAAATCACATTTCTGTTATACAGAACTGGTGCCATTGTGGCATTGAAAAGCGGACATTTGAAGTAACCAGAATGGGAAAATACATCTGCATTTTATTTAGTTATAGTTTGTATTTGTCATAATGTGTAAACAAAGTATGAAACTAAAAGCAACTTATGGATGATTAAGCCCTGAAAATATTACTATATGAAAAATAAGAAAACTGTCTAGGCTAACATATTAAAAAAGCCCTTCACTAACACAGTATACTGTACATCATTGTTTCCTCTAGGATTTTTTCCAGCTGTGGCGGCAGGCCTTTTTTACACAAATCTATCAACTACCTATGGCGTTATTTCAATGACAAATAATGTGAGCGCAGTATTGCAAGTCGAGATCGCATTCATGTAATACGAGCGTGCAAATGTTTTTGTTTATGTGCAGATTTCCTCTGTGCACAAAACGTCTTGCACGCTCTCAAATGTACGTTGCTCAAGCGCAGATCTTCTTGTGCGCTCTTAAATAAATGCTGCCGAAGTGCGATTTATTGCGTTTATGTAACGAGCTTGTCTCCAACATTTATTAAACTTGCTAGGAATATTTATGAATGTCTCCAATAGACCTTACAGTATTAATGCGTCCTGAAGTGAAGTGATCGGCTATAAACTCCAGCAAGATAAATTCATAATATGCAGAGCCCTAGACCTTTATCTATATAGTATACTTATGGAAACTGTGTTAATTTAACTGAAAGCTATGTTGTGTTTGCTGGCCTCACACTTCACACACATGCCAGTTAGTCAGTCAGCATGTAACCTTTAAGGGTTAAACAAATATTGCACAGCACTACTATGGTTAAAGAAAAGTTTGCGCTGTTATAATTCACTTACCTTTTAATACATTTTGGTGCGATTATAACCAGCTTTCAAAAAAACACGACTGAACGTTTTGAATGAGATGCTGTAATGTAGCCGTGGAAGCCACGGAAGAATGAATGTAGCAGAAACCATGTACTTATTTCAAACTTTTCACATTTCCGAAAACCATCATTACTCTAATAATATTTCAGAGTTTATGTTTTGCAAATCCATAGTTCCAAAACTTCTATTTCAATTAATATATACATTATTTAAAATGATGCATCGTATTTTGAGCCACACTTTTCATTACAGTCGGCTCAGTGGTCAGCACTGTCACCACTGCAAGAAGGGCACTGGTTCAAGTCCCGGCTGGGCCAGTTGGCATTTCTGTGTTTGCATTTCTGTGTTTGCATGTTCTCCCCGTGTTGGAATGGGTTTCCTCTGGGTGCTCTCATTTCTCGCAGTCCAAAGGTGAATAGAATAAACTAAACTTGTCAGAGTGTATGAATGCAAGAGTGTATGGGTGTTTTCCAGTGATGGGTTGCAGATGGAAGGGCATCCACTGCGTAAAACATATGCTGGAATAAATTGTGGTTCATTCCGCTGTGGCAACCCCTAATAAACGAGGGACTAGCTAAAGGAAAATTAATGAAAAGGTCATTCAATAGGTTTTTTGTGGTTAAAAATTCAAGACAAAATGGACAAAAACTCATAAAAACATGAGATGAGACGTATTTAACATTTTGGAACTTATTCATCTAAACTGGTAACCATGGAGTTTGGAGGAATTGAGCAGTCAAGATTCGCGATTGACTGTTCAGGCCATCGGGAAAAGTCTCAGTGCTCCCTATGGCCAGTTCGCCCCTGGTGCTAACCACTGAGCCACCATGGCACCCTAACCCATATAAGTCTGATTGAACCAGAAGTCTTTTATCTTAGCATATTGATATAGTTCCAACTAAAACAGAATATTGAGTAATGGGTGTGGCTTTATTTTGTGCATCATTCCCTAATAGCAAACTAACTGTAAGAGTGGGTATTAATACACAATTTGAATTATGGTAGCCCTCAGGTTGACATCAAAAGAAGGACCATCACTGCAAATGTGAAAGCAATCGGTCAGACTTTGATTGAAGATTACCAAAAAAAAACACATTTTTTTAGTGGATTAACTTGCACAGGATAACTATTCACCTTAAAAATAACAAAGTAATCATTTTTGTCATTTATTTTAACTGAGCTTTTGACTCCCTAGCAAATTATACCACTCCAATTCCACTAACAACTCTGTAGCAACTTGCTAAAAACACTTTAAGCCCCACATAATATTGCTTCAAAAACACTTTTGCTCCTCGGCAGCAAACAATTCACAAGACAGCAAAATTTATCCAACATAGAAAACTATCTAATTTCACAGTTTTGCTTCCCGTCGAGATCTGTCAGCATCTTACTTTAGCCAAACATACTTTTCCACTCTGTTAGTACTCCTCAGCTTGATGTATGTGTTCATGGATGATGTTTAGGTGGAAAAACAGCCTCACAGATGTCTGGACACAGTTCATGTCTCCCACTGGGTCCCTCGTGGTCCTCCGCTGTCCGGCCTTGACATTTGAGGCCAGCAGGAAATAAACGTGAAACTAATTTGTGGAGTAATGACCGGACCATTCAAAACATTCAGGTTGAAAGATGTATTTTTGGGCAAATAATTTGTGGATATTTTAAATGATTGTTTCTGTGGACTAATAAAACAGTCTTGAAGTATTTATTTGCACAGGGTG